TGAATTGAATTGAATTGAATTGGCACACCCATGTACACGCACCGGACAGCTAAAATACAGCGATGGAGACTGAAACAGCTGATTGTTGGGGTTTTCTTTGTATTATTGCAGCGTCTTTACCTTACAATAAGTGCCTTTAGGCACGGCACTATGTAAAATTGAACTGAAATTGAAGAACTAAATCCGTCTAGATCAAATGCAGGAAAGCTTGAAACAACACAGACAGGTTAGAATGGCCTAAAATAATTTATTATCAAATTAACATCATTTTATATTTATTTAGTCCTGATTTACTTCAATCAGGACTAAACATTTAGCTCTTGACACGCAGCACTTCTTTTCTCATGTGTGCGTTTTCTGTTTTGTGCCGTTTCCTTCAGCTCGGCCACCACCCTCCACATCACATATTTATTCACGGCGACCCTCTCGATGGCCTTTGAGTGGGCAGGATGGATGCGGTGGAGCTCACTGAAAGCACCGCTGGCTCTGAGGTAGGCCTTTAATTTCTTCGGGGCCATCGCATTCGGGGGGATTTTTTGGATGACGCTGTCACATTTGGAGATGCATTCTTTGAAAGCTTCGGATGGATGAAGCAGCCTGGCAGACGTTGGGCTTTTCTTCACAGCTGAGACGGCGTCCTTCTCCATCCGTGTGTGATAGTTGTGCTCAGTGTCGTTGGTCTCCACAAGCAAACTTTCACATTCGGTACAAGCACTGACTTCTGGATCTTGAGCCACTTTCTGCACCACCCATCCAGCTACATCAGCAAGTGTCTCCTCCTCACCTCTCTCTGGGTCACCCGGTGTGTCCTAAAAAAAATACGAGTTAGTGAAAGCTGAACTATTACAAAAATGTGTTGACCGTGACCAATTTCCATGTTCACCATTTCTCCTAACCCCAGTCAGAGAACCCACAGAGACACAGACAGCATGCAAACTCCTCACAGAAAGGTCCCAGCCTGCATTTGAACGCAGCATCTTTTTATTGTGAGGTGATCGAGCCCGCTACTACAGTTAGAGTCATTTAAAGTAAACCGTCTGAAAGTCTGAAGCTACGGTTCTCTTCAAGTGTGTTTGAAGATCTCAGGGATTTATTCTCGTCGACAGTCTCAAAGCTAAAACTCACTAAAATCTTAAAGCTGATCCTTATTTTTTTTAAAAAAGGTTTCATATCTTTGTTTCGCCCTCACATTTTTTTTCTTATACAGACACAAGAACGTTTGAGCCTCCACTTTTTTCAGCTTTTCAGCTCAGAGAGCGCAAACATAAATAATTAAAACATGCGCAGCTCAATTGCCTTGATTTGCTAAAAACACACTCTTCACTGTTACTGTCATCACCTTCTGACTGGCAGGCCATCCCAAAGGCTCCTCCTCTTCACTCTAGTTTAAGAAAGAAATACAGTTTCATTCACAAACAAGTAATAACAGAAGTGAGGTTCATTCT